CAGTCATAAACCTTTTGCATTGGTGCTAATTTAGTACTAAACCTTTTTTTGGTGCCAATTGAGTCCTAAACCTTTTGCATTGGTGCCAATTCAATCCTAAACCTTTTGTCTTTGTGCCAATTTAGTCATTCCAGTCAATTTTAGCCGGATTTTGCTGACGTGGACGCCGACCGACCGGCGGCCGGTCACCGGCGCTGACGTGGACAACTTTAATAATATTTTAATATTTTTTTGAATTTTTATTTTTTTTCTTTTCTTTTTTTTTTCTCTTCCCTCCTCCAGCCGGTCGCTGGACCGGCGACCGGCCGGTGGCCAAAGGCCAGAGGCCAGCGCCTGCGAGGCTCGCCTTCGCCGGCCACTGGCGAGGGCGGCCTCGCGCTGGGCGAGGCCTGACCTCGCCAGATCCGACGAGGTCGTGCCTCGCCCAGCCGCCAGCGAGGCTCGTCCTCGTTAGTGACGGCAAATGCAAGCCTCGCCATGGCTGGGCGAGGCCCGACCTCGCCAGATCCGGCGAGGTCGTGCCTCGCCCAGCCGCCGGCGAGGCTTGCCCTCGCCAGTGACGGCGAAGGCGAGCCTCGCCCAGCGCGAGGCCGCCCTCGCCAGTGGCTGGCGTGGGCGAGCCTCGCCGGCGCCAGCCTCTGGCCTCTAGCCGGTCGCCGGTCTGGCGACCGGCTGGAGGGAGGGGAGAGAAAAAAAAAAGAAAGAAAAAAAAGAAAAAAATTAATAAAAATTCAAAAAAAATATTAAAATATTATTAAAGTTTTCCACGTCAGCACCGGTGACCGGCCGGTCGGCATCCACGTCAGCAAAATCCGGCCAAAATTGACCGAAAGGACTGAAGTGGCATAAAGACAAAAGGTTTAGGACTGAATTGGCACAAATGCGAAAGGTTTAGGACTCAATTGGCACCAAAAAAGGTTTAGGACTAAATTGGCACCTATGCAAAAGGTTTAGGACTGAATTGGCACCAAAAAAAGGTTTAGGACTCAATTGGCACCAAAAAAGGTTTAGGACTAAATTTGCACCTATGCAAAAGGTTTAGGACTGAATTGGCACCAAAAAAAGGTTTAGGACTAAATTGGCACCAATGCAAAAGGTTTAGGACTTTTTTGGCACTTTTCCCGGAGAAGCTAGGGCAAGAATTCTTCAGAAGAGGGAGCATCGAGATTTGAAACCGAGGATTGCCATTAAAGTCGATAACGATTAAATCAAATTATGAGGAAGAATACGTATGTCCATTAGTCACTCGAAATAAAAAAAAAATAAATGTGATGTGTATGAGACATTATATCCCAAATTTTCAATAATTTGAGCAATACAACTATTAGACATATGCCGAAACCAAAAAACAATGTTGGACATATGTTGCAATTGCTAATAAATCCAAAAGAGATGCAACAATTTGGTCGTCGAAGACTAGCTGGGAAGCACACGGTGCATGATCTTTTGCTAAAGAATAGGGAGACACTCCACATGTACTCTGGCTTGTCCTTTTTAACTGGACATCCCAACACCCCAAAGCACAAAATGCCCGGTTCCAGACAAATCATGCTAGACATACAAAACTTTTGTTAACGTTAAAAGACAATGTTAAGCGCTCAATATAATACAACCAATTTGGAGTTTGGAGTTTCCTGCATCATTTTGCAAATTAAATTTATTAAATCAAAATTCCATATATATATACATATTTTTTTGTCCCAGAAATGCTCAAACATTGCAGCATACATCCGTCTCTTTTTGGAGGACCCTTTTGTTTGTTTTTTCCCAACACATGCAAGCGAAAAAAGTTTGTGTGTTGCACAGTCCAGTCCACCATTTCAGGGCTTTATGAAGCTAAGGGGAGAAAGTACCAGGTTGCTTCAAAAAAAGATGCATGAACAGTGAGGTGACCATGCCTTTTCACTCGTGCCCGTGTTGGGTTCAAGTATGTGTAGAAGATAGCAACCGTACGTGGGTGTGAATCTAAAATCTAATCCAAGGAAGAATCCTTGCAACCGAAGGCAAAACATCTGCAGGGCTGCCTGTCAGAGAGACAGAAAACCGCGTCTGAGACGCAAAGTCGGTCGCTGTTTGTTTTTTTCTCTGCATTCTTTACCTTAGTTTTTTGCTTAGTTTTTTGCGCCCCCCCCCCCCCCCCCCCCCCCCCCCGGTACTTGTATTGATATTTATATGTAGATACAAGTAATAAAGAACCCCTCCTATGTAATCTGTATGAATGGGGATGTGCACAAACTGTTCGACTTTTAAGCCACCCTTTGAGACTCTTTACCCTCCTCTCGTTTATTTTTTTAAAAGTTCTGCTTCTTGTTTTCTTGCTTACTTTCTGTTTTAAATTTTCTTTTCTTGCAGAGAGTTTCTCTCATGGTTTTCCACTGTAAGCCGTGTTTGCTCAACGTCACGGGTAATAAATAATAGCGCACGGTTTCTTGACCATTCTTGCTTTAAAATAATGATAAGGGTTCTGTGTTTTTTGGGTGCGACCCAGCTTTCCATGCATAGCTTCACATGCACTTGCTCGCCACAGAAACAACAACCCTAGTTCTTTTTCTCCCCTTATACAAGTCTTTCACATTTACCATTCTGACCACCTCTTCCAAGGTATTTTCCCATGCAACCTTGAAGAGAATATGCTATGAGATTTTAAAAATACTGAGTACTGATCTCCCAAATGATTGAATCTAATTTGAGCTGAGGTGGTTTTTTGGCCCGCTAGATTGTGATTTTGCGAGTTCTTGAGACACCATCTGTTTATTGTTTACTGTTGCTGCACTGTGTTATTAATAATTCCCGCGCTAAAAAAAGTGTTTCACTGTTGTACAAAGGAAATCCATCGTTATATAACACGATCTGGCTTGATCCACACCAAGCTCTATGTAGGCTTATCCACATTGATAATGTCGACGCCGCTTATGTAAAGCCCAGAGCACACCAAATTGGGATTCCATGCTTCTTGCTGGAACGATACTTTGAAATCGCTTCTAGTGATCTGACGCAAGTAAATTCGAGCAGACACTAGAAAAAAGTGCTTTGGGAGATGATTGAAGATGGATCAATTTTGCATCAAGATATATGTTACTTCCATTATATGTGAGACTTGAGGTACAGTGTTACGCGTTAAATCAGTCGGAAGTGGCGCTTTTTTTTGTCACTTATATATGCTGACTATCTTTGAGAAACGGGAAAAGTATCAAAAAAGTCATAAACCTATTGCATTTGCATTGGTACTAATTCAATCATAAACCTTTCAATTGGATCAATTTGATCCTAAACTTATTCACATTAGTACTAATTCAGTCCATCCGACTAATTTAGGCTGGAAATCGCTGACATGGACATCGGTTGTCCTATGTGGCACGACTGGCGCTGATGTAAGCATTTTAAATAATATTTTAATATATTTTTTAAAAATTTATTTTCTTTTTTATTTTTGTTTCCTTCATTTTGGTCGGCAAGGGCTTGCCTGGGTGAGGGCCACCTTGCCCAAAGCCAGCAGGGCCGTGAAGGCCCTGGGCAAGGGCATGCTAGCCCTCGCCTAGTGGCTAGCTCACCAGTCAAAACGAAAGAAAAAAAAAAGTATAGAACAATAAAAAATTCAAAATATTATTAAATTATTATTGCAAATGTCCATATTAGAGCCAACAATGCCACGTAGGACGATTAGCGTTAACGTCAACGATTTCCAACCTAAATTGGCTGGATGCACTGAATTAGTACAAATTTGAAAAGGTTTAGGACTAAATTGGCTCAATTGAAAGATTTAGAACTAAATTGGTATCAATGTAATAGGTTTATGACTTTTTTGGTAATTTTTTCCTTTGAGAAGTAGAATCTCAACCTTAGAGATCAGCATCATATACTGGCACAAATCATATCAAAGGGTTTATTAAAAGTTCCCTACTTGTACGATTGGGTGCCTATATTAAACATATAGCTAGGGTTAATAGGGGCCAAATAGTGTATTAATACGAAGCGACTACCTAGGACAGAACTCAAATTCCAACCCTGAAGGATCTTTTGAGTGGTGCATTATCGATTATACCGTATAGCTTATATACAAGGGCGAATTCCAATGATATTCTGCTAAAGAATGACTCGTGTACGAACTGCAACGCCGCGGATAAACTCAAAAGGGAAGTTCACACACATACGAACTCAAAGTAGGAGAGTCCTAGGAGGATGGAACCCCAATATGGTATGAATCACTAATTTTTGAGTTGAACCAATGCACAAACCTCCAAAGACCGTCTCAATTCCAGAGTTCAGTGCTCTAGGAAATGGTCCCGAACGTCCTTTCCACTGGGATTTCTACAACGAGATCGTACAATTTTAGCCAGAAAACTGAGTAGAAAAACAAGAAATTAACATGGTACCCATAATTTTCTTCGAGGGAGTACCAATTTGCTCTCAATAAAATAACTCCAATGTCTCCAAAGTATGATAATTGGCCCCAATTAACTCGATTTCAACTTGGTTCGGTCAGATCATCAAAGCCGGAAAACCCTGAAGGGCCAAAAAAGAAACGAAGTAGCTTTTCTTGAGCTGCATGTTCGGTTTTCATCCTCTGGGGAAACATGCTGACGCCGGACCTTCGCTTTATCATCACTTCATGTTGAATTTGAGAAGCTTGCGATGATGATTATGTCTCTCTCTCTCTCTCTCTCTCTCTCTCTCTCTCTCTCTCTCTCTCTCTCTCTCTCACTGTCCACTGTGAATTTTTGACAATCAACTAGGTTGGTCGGAGTGGAGTAAGTTGACTTATGGAGAACATGTACATATGGTCCGAAAAACAACACCACACACCCGCTTTCAATCTAAGTATATAAAATTATATAATTTGTCCCCCCACACTTTGGTACATTGAACAAGAGAAAACTTAGCCAAGAGTTTGGTGCATGCCGTGGTGCCAAACAACAAGGGCGAAACCGTAATTATTCAATGGAAAAACCATGACATTCCCTTTTGCCCTTTATATAGCTCTCCCTCCTCTTTAGACGCTTCGGTGCAAGTTCAAAGTCGCTCCACGTTATTAATTTTCTCTTCCCTTGCCTTGGTATTAGCAGCTTCCCAAGAACTTATAATATATATTCCTCTCTCTTTCTCCTTGAGTAATATTCTTTTAGTTTTTTCCTTCTGGTTTTCCTTGGGGGTCCTCCTATGGAAGATCAAAGCCAAGACCCTAACGGCAGCACGAGCCACGGCCACGAGAGAGGTGGTGGCGAGCCTGTGCGGTCGCGGTGGACCCCGAAGCCCGAGCAGATCCTGATCCTGGAGTCCATCTTCAACAGCGGGATGGTGAACCCGCCCAAGGACGAGACGGTGCGGATACGGAAGCTGCTGGAGAAGTTTGGCGCGGTCGGTGATGCCAATGTCTTCTACTGGTTCCAGAACAGGCGGTCGAGGTCCCGCCGCCGCCAGCGGCAGATGCAGGCTGCCAGCCTCGCCGCTGCTGCCGCCGCGGCCGAGCAGAGGAATAATAATGATCAGGGCCAGCAAGCTGAGGGTGCAATTCATCATCAGTGTTATGATGGGAGCTCAAGTTCCGACATGGGTCTTGCATCTTTTGGGTCATCGTGTTCATCTTATTCTAATTATAGTGCTTATGGGTCAGAATCCTCTTCTTCTTCATGCGGAGTCATGAGTCAAGAGGCTGGCGACAGTTTCTTTCCGAGCTTAATGGGTCATCATCATGTGGGATTTCCTGAAAGTGACCAGAACTGCACTACGGGTCTAACTTCTTCAATCTTGTGCCAACCTGAGGCTCCAAATATGCACTATCAGCAATCTGGTAAATCAATTGTGACAGTCTCCTTTAATTCTGTAATTTTTTTTTTTTGTACCTGCAAGGTTCTATCAGAATTTTTTTTTAGAGCTTATGTTGGTTTTTCTTCCAGAGTTAAGTTCCCAGAATTTTCTTGTCGCCATATGTTTAAAACCTTAGCACTCGGCACTCTTCTTGTCAAACTTTCCACAAGCTTTTCCTATATCAGAGAGGAAAACAGTTCACTAGGTTACTCAAGCGAGAGATTTGGCTCAACTCATGAGGTTGCAAACTTTTTGACTATAATAATTTCTGAGAGCCTGGAAAACACATCCATATCATAGAAAGTTGCCATAATCCCTCTCTGGGTTTTTTTAAATTGAATTCATAAGCGGAACCCTAACTTTCCCTCTGCAGGATACAGTTTTCCCTCATTTTCTTTTCCTACTGAGAAAGTGACTTCCGAAGAACATTTTTATATGCTTGAATAGTTCAAAGTCGGCAAATTTCCACATACTGTTCAGAAGAATTAAAAAAAAAGAACTCTGACAGGGGTTCATCTGAATGCCTTACCTAAAAAAATAGACTAATCCATACTAAAACGCGTGACTACGTATAATTTCTTTGAAAAGTTTTTTCATAACAAATGGGTCTAATTTTACTAACCCCATTCTTGTGCTTGGTATGTGTATCTTCACAGGAATAATCACAGTGTTCATCAATGGCATACCAACAGAAATCCCAAGAGGGCCACTCGACATGAAATCGGTATTTGGCCAAGATGCGATTCTGGTTCACTCTTCTGGTCTTCCTGTTCCCACAAACGAGTACGGCCATTTGATGCAAAGCTTGGAGCATGGTGAAAGTTACTTCCTGGTAATTCAATTATGTTGGCAGATATATGTACATCATGTATTTATTATCTTGCGCAATAAATCTCTGTGCTAAACATATTAAATAAAAAATTATAATTAATTAAGAAGAATTTGAGGGCTAGTTATGATGTTTAACCCAATTCCAGTTCTCCTAGGAGCAGATTAATCATCAGTTAGTACAATTCTGCAAATTACCGTCTTGTCCTAATTTTGGTCTGTGTAGCTCCCAATTTTGGTCTCACCTTCAATATGGCACATCATCATCACAAGAAATACTAATCAACTCAGTAAATATGTCTTGAATCAATGAATAAGCATTTAGAGACGATCACTATCAGTACCTTCTACTCTTTCTTGTATGCTTTTTGAATTAGGGCTGAGGTTCGTTTTATCCGGAGACCAAGAGGAGAGGAGGAGAGACTCTAAATTAATTGGGAATTAATCATCATTATCCATTTGATTCCTGGTTCATAACAGAACATTGGCCTTAATTATAGGAGATGATATCTGATTGTGCATTTGAACATGGAGACAAACTAGCTCCTTTTTTCTGTAGTGATGATAAAGCAGGCTCTAGCTAGGAATCTTCTCTTTATTCCAACTAGTTCCTTTTTTTTCATTTTTTTTTTCATCTCCTTTTTCTCAAGTTAACTCATGAACAATGTCCAAATGCTGTTATATAATGTATCTGACATTCATATTCCAAAACAAAAGTCATACACTACTGTTTACGTACAATCACTCTAGGAATTATTGAGGTTCCTAAATTAAGAATAGTAGAGTGATTCTTCTCTTTCTCTCTCTCCTCCGACACACAATAACCAGCAACCAGGTGACATAAGCAAGAATCTCCAATCTGTCCTGCTAATTCTCTAAACGTATGCACCCAGTTAGTAACAATTCCAGTTATTACCTTACTGTAGTGACACTGTTTTACATAATGTTTTTTTTCCAGGTTTCAAGACCAACATAAGGAGGATCTGAACGTGCACCAATGACTGAGAACACCTGCCTAGCTACGCATATGAGGGATCAATTCAATCAAGCCTTTGGGTGATTACAATCGTGATATCAGAGAGTTAACAATCACCAATCTCTATTGACACGAGGAAGGGAAGGATGGAGAGACAGCCAGACAGACAGACAGAGGTGTCACACTTGTGCTTTGGGTATCATCAATTTAACGAGCACTTAGATGTTCAGATTTCTAAAGATTTGCAAAGTTTTGTCATAAATGTATGTGAAACTTTTTTTCAAAGTGAATGAAGAGTGGTCTATTAGTCAGAATTGTAAGTTTTTGTGTTGGAAATGGACTGTACTCGCCATTTTGTTTCCCAAGGTAACCAGGATTTTTAGTTGCGTTAAACCACGGACAATCGATGAAGCTATACATGAACCATGGCCACATTGTGGTGTTAGACGAGTTCTTTTTCTTTATGAGTAAAAAGGGCAGGAGGTGACTAGTGCTGGTGACTCCCGCGGGGCATTACGGGTACTAAATTGTATAGATTTGTACTTTAAAGTTTAAGCTATTGTTTGTAGAAAATGTATTTATATGTAAAAAGCTTCTTGAAACCATGTTTATAGGCGATGACGGGACGGTATTTAACTGTAATGGTCTTTTACATGCCAGCATCGTGAAGATAAACTTTCATGTGCATGCAAGTTAACAGGGTGAATTAGAATTCACTTGCACAGACGGTTTTTGAGAACAAGCAAAGATCAATATCAAGTGTGCAATTGATAGGATACTGCTCCTAAAATACTTGAATCTCGTAGCTCTTAATGATATCTCTCGCGTGCGTACATATTGACTTCTACATGTTAATAATTAAAACTTGTATTCATAGCAAATGTTACATTAGAATGCCATACGAAAGGATGATCAGATTACTCGCGATTCTTGACTCTTTTTCTTGCCGAATTGCATACGAACGCTATCTGGATCAATGGGGTTGAGTTGGATTTGTAGAAACACAAATGAATGCAATTTGTTAGTGTAATTTATTATGATTTCATGTAATCGAACAAAAAAATCGAGCAATTTCATCATGTGGTCTCGGATAACCAGTTCAAGAACCATTATATCTTGAAGATTCATGGTGAAGCTATTTGAAAGACTAATTCAACAAATCAGTTGCAAGAAAAGCTGAATTCTCAGGACCAGTTAGCATTTCTCAACCTTGGATGTTGCTCATGGAGCTCTGCAAGACTGATTCAGGGCAACATTTAAGAAAGATTTGCAAGCTTAGTAAAGGCCATACACTTGAGTTCAATATTGGCGTTTTACCAATTTTCGTCCATGCATATAACCATATGTCATTAGACCCAACTTCCATGATACTTGATATTATGCTAATCTATGACACAAGAAATGCAAGGGAGGAATCTCGCCGGAGACCTTATCGATGAAAATGGCGTATATATGGGTAAATGATCTCCTTGTCGAAATGGTTAAACTTTAGTCGAAATATATTTGTGAAAATGATTAGATTTTAGCTGCACACGTGGTCAAATTTTGACATCGTCTATGGAGAAATTGTTTTGAATTTCACTAAGTAGTAAACATAACAGATATTAATTTCTAAATGTGATGACATTAAAGGAAACTTTAAACTGAAATAATCAAAATGATGAAATAGAATGTATATAATTTGAAAGTTGTAGGATGATAGTTCCTCAACATAAATTTGGGCTAAGACTAGAAAGTTGAATTAATTGTACTGCAATCATACTATCACTATTAAACTTGTTGTGTGCAAATTAATAAGTTTGATATGCAAATGACTTGATATTAGACTAGATAGTTGAATTAATTGTACTGCAATCATGCAATCATACTATCACTATTTACTTGTGATTTTGTTAACAAGTGCCCCTCAAATATTTAAATACATACTTCTTAAATAAAATTTAACACTAATGCATTTTTTTGTCGAAAGAAAATTATATTCATTACTCAAAGGGGTACATAAGAAGTACATAGATTTTCATGGCAAAGCAAATCGAAACAAAGTAAAGCCCAAAATACAACAAAACAAAGCAAAATCTAGAAAACAAGGAGGATCAATAGAGTACCGGCAGGGTTAAGTAAACACTTGTTCCATAAAAACGGAGCTAAGCAAAATAATCGGCGGCCGATCAATGGATCGCGTATCATCATTAGTAATGAGCACACGCTGGAAATTCATTTTCCAATAATTACAGCATTACCAGTTGGTGGTGCACGCCTATGTTCGGCTTTCTCTACACCATCTCCGTACAGAGACAATCAAAATGGATTGAAAAAACACATATTTAACTTTTGGAAGACCAAATCTTCGTAATTCAACGAGACGCCAAAGCTCCCGCGATCATCATTTAAATTGGAGGCAGATGACTTGTACACGGACAGAGCACGGGGGTATCGAATCTCCAAAAATATTATTAAACTCCCATATCTAAATTGGGAGAGAAAACCTCCTTAATCTATAACTAAATCAGAAAAGTTAAAACTCACATATCTAGATCGGGAGAGAAGACAAAACAAGTAAAGAACAAAAAAACTCAAACAAAATTATTGGGAGGGGAGGGTCAGACTAACTCAAACCCTCCCCTATGGCTGATGCTTGAAGACGACGATGGAGAGAGAAGTGCGGCTTACGGCGCAAATTAATAAAATCTTTAAAGAGCAAATGTGGCCAACGCTGCTAATGTAATTCTTTTTTTTTCCTACAAGCAGTCTTATTCACTCCGGTTCGATGTTTAGTAAGAGAGTGGGTGGTTAAAACCTTTAAAATCAAGGGTAAATAAAACCGCTTGCATAAAGTTTTCTATCACTGCTGATCAGACATACTCGAATTGATGTTTTAGTGTCTCTCGGCTTTTTCTGATCACTAAAGTTACTACATGGCCTTTAAGCAAAGAAAGATGCAATGGACACAAACTTTAATTTTTTTTTTGTTTTTTATCCCCTCAATGTTATTGTATGTCTCTTAAGCTAAGTTAGGTACATTGCACATAGATAACTTATGTAAAAGGGCAAACCTGAAATCGAGTACTTGTTCTCCAAAAGATGATACCATCATCCATCCCGACAAAGCAACATGAAATACTGTTCTTAATTAGATCCTTTGGACTGTTGTTGCTATGCATATGTGACTGTAGAAAGTGAGAATTCTTAATTTATGAACTTTTTAGAAAGTGAGAGTTCTTAATTCATGAACTTTTGGCATCACCATATCTTTATGAATTTGTTACAAGTTCATACAAGCTATAAGCTACATGATTGCATTAGTGATGTCGCCGCTTCACTAATCATGTCAAGTATGATGACACTTTCAATCAAGTGCATTGGTTCCTTTTTATATATTACTTACCATTCATTTCAGCTGTTCCGTTATAGGTTTTGGTAATGATTATCAGTTATCATGGACGGTGTGATATCATGATTAACTTTATATTTTTCAAGCAAGACACTTCCCATCACAAATTCAATGTCACATAGATAAACTCGACAAAGTGAGATGATTAATGGAACTATATATATATATGTATATTGTAATTATGAGTTATTAATGGTTCAACAAAAGTGAGCAAATCGCAGGAACTGTCCTTTCAAATTCTATCGCAAGGAGTTTTTTGTAGCAGTTTTAATTTTCTTTAATAGACATGTCCATTAATGTCCTTTCATTTATGACTCTTCAATTCATGTCTTTTCAATTTCTAACTCTATAAATTAAAATCAAATATTCTTCTTTCAAAGAAGAATATACAATGTTTCCAAGCTTAGAAAAATGTTTTAAGTGTGCCGATAAAAGTTCGACTAAGTCATGTTTGCATAGTGCTAAAATGAACAGGTTCGAAGTGTTGTATCTTGAGAGGTATATTTCATAAATCTGCAAAAGTACAGTTGGCACGAACTAATCGCCTTAAGGAGATTTGGTAATCTGTACCTCACCTCCTATTTAATTCTGTTAACATTCGTTTGGTTTTTTCCCACATGATGCAGGGCAAAGTCGAATGACTATGGCGGCCGACCAATGCAACTTTAGCTGAGAGTCCATGGGGGCTCCATGCGTGTTTGTGTCTCGTCGCACCGGGCGAAGGAACGTTCGCACTCAAAGCCTTTCCTCGTATCCGAGACCGCATCTCTTCAAGAAGATGGGCCGGGAACTTTCCCCTAAGTCAATGCCCAACACAAAGTTAGGCAATAACCGGTTCATGCCTAAGGATTTGCTCAAAAATTACCGATAGCTTCGTCCTTTCACACACCCTCCTTTTATATGAGCTTAGATTGACCTTGAATCTCGTCTGTGGATTCACCTAAGTACATTTTACATTGGATGGGGCTCGATCACTCAAATATTCGTAATCGACCTGAACACACGGTTGTCAAATCATAGATTAAAAGTCACATTGCTAAATTCAACAGACAAGCCAGGTCGTATGCATCAAATGGAACTTTCAAACGATTGGATCTTATGCAAGAATCGATTCTAATCAACCAAAATTTGAGAATAGGTAATGTCAAGTAAATTAACAAGCTTAGAAAGATTGACTTACTGAATCAAAACCAATTGATGTAAAAACTCATGTACCAACAATTTTTTAAAATTCAGCGGGCCAATCTCCAATAAGCATTAAGAGACTACAGACACTTGCGTGTCTTGAGATCTTCGAGCACTTTCACATAGAAGGTCTTTTCGCCCTAGATGCTGATGCAGAACTGCATGGCCAGTACGTGGTGGATTCTTCACTTGGTCCTAATTCAAGAACCAATTAAAAAGAAAAAAAAAAGCATCCCCAACCTGGCTTCGGACGCCGACCACTATAACCAATAGAATGCGGACGGATGTTTGTTATACAACTTCGTAATCAACATTAAAAATTCAAAAAGTCATACTTTTCCCTCTCACAAAAAACATTAGGGCTCTCTAACAGAGGAATACCCATGTGGGGGTGTGAGGTTTCTCACTAGTGTCTGTTGGCTGGCAAATCAATGAAGAAAATTTGATTCTTTGACCGCGTTAGATTCTAGGGTTTATTTTTTTCTAAGATGCCAGTTGCATTAAATCACAATGAAATCTAAACCATTGTTGTGTTGACCAGAGGAACAGCTCGGTCAACATTAAATTCCTTGGGGATCCAATCTGGTTTGCCTTACTTTCAATTTTGTCTGCTGTTTTTCTTTTCTTTCGATAAAAACATGTCCACGAATTGAAATGTGAAGAGCCAGTAAAAGTTTTATAGGGTTTGGAGAAGCATTAAGTAGACCCAGTTCGACATCTTTAATATATATAATTTGCATGTGCATGTGAGCCATATGTG